GGGGAATTGGAGGGAGAGATGAACCATGAGAGACTATGGACTCTGAGAAACAAACCGGGTTTTAGAAGGGAGGGGGGAGGGGCATGGGTTAGCCTGGTGATGGGTATTAAGGAGGGCACGTACTGCATGGAGCACTGGGTGTTATACGATCACCACATCAAAAACTAATGATGTATTGTATGGTGACTAACATAACAATCAAATTTAAAAAAAAAAAAGAAACGAAACCCCTCCAGTCGGAGCCACTGGAGGCAAAGGCAGATCAATGGCTCCCCCTCCAGAGGCAGGGGACCGGACAAAAGGCCTCAGGCCGCCCTCCTTTAAGACCCACAGCCTGCGTGTAGCTGCTGGGTCATTTTCTTCATGGGCACCATGGGCAGTGTCCGCAGCCCACAAGCTTTTCCAGGTTATAAAAACCCTTGAAACTTGAAAAAAAAAAAATGGTGAACTTCCAAATACAGAAAGAAACTTGCAAACCTGAAAGCAACACACGCTTCTTTAAAATCTGCAAACTATCACATTATGTTAGCTGGTCCCCTACAGCTGAAGCCATATATAACTTACAGCTCCCGTGGGGTGTGGGAGCATTGGGATATGCTTGACATGGTGGGGGTGCGGCCTACACAGGTGTTCCTATTTACTGGGCCTCACCCTATTTACTGGGCCTCACCCCCCGACCCCAGGCTAGCCGACCTGGCGCCCTCTTTCCTCCCCGGCCCCTCCTCTGCCTCACGCCCCTCTCCTCCTGATCTCCACTTTCTCCTGTTTCGCCCTGGCTGCTGCTGTCCATGAAGTCTGAAACAGCTGCCCCAGGAATGTCCCACCAGCCTGGACAAGGAGCTCGCCTCCTACCCTCCTGCCCCCTTGAGGAATCTCAGCAGCCGTGCCCTGCTCTCTGCGGGCCAGCCGGGCAGCCAGGGACAGACCCCAGGCCTGCCCAGGCCGCGCTAGCGTGGGTAGAATCTTACCGGAGCCAGGAACCAGAGGCCGGCTCGCGGAGAACACAGGCTCTGCAATCAGCAGACTCGGACACAACTTACTTTGTCTCTTTGAGCCTTCATTTCCTCACACATAAAATGACACACATAGTTCATCGAATCGGGAATGCACTATTATCCCCATCATAACAGCCCTCCACACAGGGCACCGAGGGCACTGTGAGGCCTTACATGGGACGGTGCGTGTGGAGCGTCCACCCGACCCAACACCAGCCGCTGACACTCTCACTGAGCGTCTGCCATGTTCCAGGCAACGCACACTGTCGGGCATCCGGTCTGACTTGGGTGAACTCCTCCAGCAACTGTGGACGTCCGACTTACCATCCCTGTGTCGTTGAGGAGAACCCCGCAGCTCGGAGACCCGGATCACACCGGAGGAGCTGGGGTTCTAACACAAGCAGGGCTAACTCTGGCCCCACACATACCGGCCCCTCACCAATCATTCTGCAATGGGCAGTCCGGCAGAACGCTAACCTAAGAACCAGAAAACCTGAGCCTGTTTCTCTACCTGTAAGTAGGTGTAAGATTTGGAGCAGTCCTGTCGCCTCCCTCGGTCTGTCCCCTCCTGTGCACGTGGGAAGGACGAGGTCTGCCCCACTGACTGCACAGGAGAACAGCCAGGGTCAAGCTCGGTGCTGGGCATCGGTGCTGTGCGGACCACAGCACTCAGTGAGCCCAGGACCATACACCTCCTGTACCTCACGCCGGCCCAGGGGCTGGCCAAGCTCTACTTGAATACTGCCATGAACAGGGAGCTCACTGCTTCTTTTAGCAGCTCGTTATGTTATGGTTAGAAAGTTCTTCCTTTTGCAAAGTCCACAGGGAGTTACTTGCCTGTAACTCCATCGCACTGGCCCTGGCCAGGTCCTCCAATGCCCTGCCAGTTGGAAAAACTCATTGCCAGTACCGCACAGTGGCTGCCAAAGACCCTAAACGAAGGCTGTGTCCTCGCTCGGGTCATCCTGCCCTGGGCTCCTCATCCTGACACAGAAGGAGGTGTCGAAGGCAGTAACGTTCTTGGTTGGGACTGGTTCCTCTCCTGCTGCCGACTCTCTCCCTGTCCCTGCTGCTCAGACTCCTGGGCCGGGAGATGATCCGCATCAAGGAAGGATGTGGAGGACGCTGGGGACGCCGCCGGCTGCTCTGACGGCTCGCACTTCCTGACGGCCCCGCCCTCTGCCAACACCGCCATGCTGGCACTCGGGCTCTGGGGCCGGCGACCTTGCACCCCGTCCCTTGTGCGTCCCCCCACCACACACGGTGCCAGCCACTCTTGTGCCCGTACCTTGAAAGACTCCAGGAATCCCCCATGGCCCCCATTCTCAAACTTGTCCTCTTCGGGGCCCAGCCCCAGCATAGCCTGCGTGTGCGCGTGAAGCTCATCGTGGAGGTTGTCCAGCAGGGCGGCCCTCGTCCGGTCCTGAAAGGAAAGACGGTGGGGATGATGGAGTTGGCATGGAGGACAGAGACGGGCCCTCTCCCTGGGGTCTCCCGACACCTAGCCACCAGCATCCCAGGGACAGCGTGGACCCGAGGCCTGGCTGGGCTCCCTGCTCACAAATACCGCAGCTACCACGAAAGCTCTGTGGCTGGCCTCTGCCCTCTTCCCCTGCCCCTTCTCCGTGGGCCGTCCCATGCCTCTACCCTGCTGACTCCCAGCTTGGACCTCTGCCCCAAGCTCCACAGCCAGGTACCAGGGGCTGGCCCAGGGCTGCCGGCACGGCTCTTCTCAGTCCAGACGGTGGAACAGGGCCACGCAGATGACCTCCAGGGGGCGCCATTCACACACACCAGCCACAGCCCCTGCAGGCACCTCCCCCAGCAGAGCCTCACAGACCTCGCATCCCAAAGGCCCCCATGTCAGTGCCCAAAGCAGCCCGGCAATTCCACTTCGCCCCACCCTATACATACAGGAGTCCATAAAGTCTTCCCGACCCTGACCCCAAACCATTCCCTCCTGGACTCCTATAACAGCTTCTAACCTGCCACCCTTCCTGCCCTCCTCCCTAGCCATCTGCCCTTCTCATCGCCGCCAGAGTAATCTAACACACTAAGTACTTTATGAGCACCTCATCACTTCCAGAGTTCAAAGCCCTTCCTGACCTGACCCAAACACCACCACCTCCAGCTGAGTCTCCACCCCCACACGAGTCCTCCTCTCAGGCCCCCTCAAACCCTCTGGAGCTCCCTCAAAAGTCATGCTCTGATCTGCCTGGCCTTTGCTTATGCTGTTTCCCATGCCTGGAATAACCCTCCCCAATCTTTCCTCCTGGCAAAAGGCTCATCAGATATCTAAATTCAGCAGGTCAAGGGCCACCTCCTCCAAGAAGCCCTCTCTGAACACATCCCAGTTCCTCACAGGCAGAAGCAGTCACAGCCCCTGTGCTGGCCTCCATCAGAGCCCCGTGCCGACACCGTGCCGTAACCTGTCTCTTAAGTAATGGCCCCTTCCCACCAGCCCAAAAGCTCTGGAAGGCAGAAACTGTGCCTCACTACCCCTGTATCACAGGGAACAGAACAGAGCCTGGCACACAGCAGGTGTGAATGGTTGGCTAGACCTAAGGTTTGGGTGGACTTTCCACAAGAAGAAAGAGTTTCTATACCAACACAGGGCTGAAGGCTTCAAGGGGCGGGCAAAGACGGCGCTCCTCACCTTGCGCAGCCCCCAAGAACAGACCCCCAGGAGAGACTGGCTAACAAGCAGCCAGCAAGGCAGGAGGAAGATGTCCAGAAACAGCGCACTGACCTCCAGCTTCGCAAACTTGTCTGACTTGCAGCAAGCGTTCTCCGCGTTGGTGAGCTTGGTGAGCAGAAACTCCCTGAACTCCGGGCCCTGGAACAGACAAGAAGCTCGGCGACTCCCCCAGTCTCAGCTGTTGCTGAAAGGGCTTTCAGCCACAGTGACAGCTACGCAGAATGGGGCTTCTGGGGAGAGCCCCTAAAGGGTCCCCTTCGGACATCTGGTCATTTTCTAGCCCAGACCAGGACCACCTGCTAAGAGGCCGACTGGTGGAAACCAGGTGTCCTGGTCCCGGGAAATCAACCCCCTCCACACCATTTCCATGACTGGAGGCAATTCTTGTCCGAGGCTTCTCGGAATGAGGCCTAAGTGCAAAAACCCTTCTTCTCGCGGAAAGGCAACCCCAGAGTCAAACACCCTGACAAGAAGTGCTGTGCTAGACCAGACTGGCAGCGCGAGGAGCGGTGGGAGAGACCCCAAGTGAGAGATCCTCCCAAGCCTGCCAAAGGTGCTCCAGCCCAGATTTAGCCCCACTGCAGCCCCTGCCGCTCAGATACTGAAACCCGGAGTCTCAGGTAAGAGGAGAGCAGGGAGGGGAATTCCTTACCTTCTGGAAAACAGGAGGGCTGGGCAGAGGGGGGCCAAAGGCGGGCACATCTTCCCGTGCAGTGACTGAGACCTGAAACAGAGTGTTGGTATGGGCCGGGGGGGGGAAGAGATCCAAGCTAAGGAAGATAATGCATCCCGAGCCCTGGCCCTAGGGACGCCCACTGCTCACAGCACACCTCCACCCCTCCCCAGAATCCGAACACAACGTTCCCACGAGCCATCACCAGTAGGGCCGCGTGGCCGCTGGTACAAGTGGGGCTGGACGGCACAAAGCCATCCGCACGCTCCCATCTGCATTCCTGGAGGCCAGCAGCAAGTCTGGCAAGATGGCTGGACAGGGCTGAGGCGTCGCCTGGGGCCCGACTTCGAACGCAGCCCAAGCGCCCAGGAGGCCCTACCTGTTGCCTCATCTGACTGGACAGTCACCCCACGGAGAAGGCAAAGTGAGAACTGCTGGCCCTGCTTTACTGACAAGGAGACACGTCCAGAGACTGGAGCCGTCTCCCCACAAGCACACAGGTGATGGGTCAGCCGCAGAGACGACCAGAGAATCCAGACCCCCGACCCCGCTGTGGGGCTCGTATCCCACAACGCTGGCTCCCGAGCCTGGCCATACATCAGAATCACTTCAAGTGTTTAAAAAATAAATACCGACTGCATGGGCTCCACCCCAAACCTCCTGAATCACAAGCTCTGGGGTGGAGCCAGGAATGGGCAACTGTTACATGCTCCTCAGAGCTTCTGTGCGGTTGGCGGACCAGGTCAGACGGCCTGGCTGAGGCCTGAACTGAGCGCCGGGGCCCAGGCTGGGAACTGCGGGTGGGGGGACATCCAGCTGCCCCACACAGGTGCGCCAGGCTCTGGCCAGCCTGGGGAGGCAGGAACTAATGCAGTGGGAGGCTCCCAGGCGCAGGACAGGCCCCACACGTCCAGCTGCTCTCCCTGCGTGGAGGTGCCCCGGTTTCACCCGTTCTCACCCACGAGGCCACAGGCCTCTCTGGAGACTCTGCCTTCTCCCTCTCCCAGATGGCCGCTGACATGAGCCTGGCCCTGGCGAGCCGCCAGCCTCCCTGGCCTGTGAAGTAGGGCAGATGCCAAGAGCCTGCCAGACCGGGCGAGCAGGCAGCTCGGAGCCAGGCCAAGGGAAGGCCCTGCCAGGGTCTGGAAGAATAAAGTGGGAGAGAGCTGGTCAGTACGGCTTTCTCTCCCCAAGCTCAAGGCTGTCTGCATGCCCGGAATTAGGAAACGGTGTGCGTTCAGCTGACAGGATTTCTGGCTGGCTCCGGCTGCCCCACACAGTCCCCCACCACCACCCACTGCGCACAGGAATCTGGGGAGGGGTGGTGGGAAGGCACCTGGGAGGAGGCCAGGGGTCAGGCCTCTGCCCTCTTGCCACCCCACTGCCCCCCGCTCCGGCTTACACTAGAGCCGTCTGTGCTGACTGGGTAAGGAGCTTCAGACGTGCTCTTCCACCGGCCGGGTCTCCCAGCCCGCCAAGCCCACCACAGCAGCCGTGTCAGAAAAGCAGGAGACAGGATCCTTCCTGGTGACAGTCCTGCATCTTCTGCCCCCACTGTGTTCCCTCTCCTGACCCCTTTCCAACACAGTGCCTGGGTCTTTGCTGGTCCCTCCTCTTGAGGGCAGGTGGGTTGCTCGGCAGAAAGCAGAAGTCGCCAGAACACAACCCCGTCTTCCGTTTTCTAAAGTCAGTGCGCGCCTCCCAGCAGGGGGCAGGGCAGGGCTGAGGAGAGAGGCTGGAAAGCAGAAGGAGGCTTGGGGCACGAGTACAAGCGTCCACCAGGGAGGTGGGGAGCCTCCGGGGGCTCCAAACCTGGGATGCCACGGCCAAGTGCAGCAGGGCAGCCTTCGAAAACTGTGTCGGGGTGCTCAAGCACCAGATCAGCAGTGAGGGGAAGGGGTGCATCCAGACAGGACCCCTCCCCAGTGGTGGGCTTCTCATAGGATTCCTGAGACCTTGGCAAGACCTCAGGCACCAGGGCCAGGGTGACCTCAGACGGGAAGAGGAGGGAGTCTGAGTGATGGCTCAGCTGGAGTTCCCTTCCAATCTGGCAGGGCAGGGACAAAATTCATGTCTGAGAAATAATGCGACGTCACCTGAGTTTGGGAGCCAAGTCCCCCTGTTCCGACGGCTCAGGGATGCAGACCGCAGGCAGGCCTGGACAGAGACTTCAGCTCTACCACTTCCGGGCTCTGTGGCCCAGGCCTTAAGGAACTTAAGCTCTCAGCCTCAACTTCCTTCTATAAAATAGGGCTAACGAGATCCTGCCTGACCAGGGGCTTGGGAAGATTCAAGAAGACTGGGCTTCTAAGGGCCCAGCACAGTGCCTGGTATAGAGCAAGTACCCAGGGAGGGGCAACCTGCTAGCTGGTGCTTTTGTTTTGTTTTTTCTTACTTTCCCTGCTGACCCAAACCTAATAAAGGACACCCGAAATACTACAGAGTTCCCCTAAACCACTTTCTAATCTCTCTCTCTCTCTCTCACACACACACACACACACACACGCCCCTCGTCCTCAGCACCCCCACCCCGCCCCACTTCCCTTCCTGCAGTATATCAGGGCTGGAAGGAACAGAGACGATCTAGTCCACTTCCTCATTTCACACAAATGGAAGCTGAAGTCCAGAGAGGGAAGGAACTGGCCCAAGGTCACAGAGTAGTCAGAGGCAGGGCCAGGACCAGAAGCCCCAGCTCCTGAGCCTCTCGGTCTGGGGGGCCTTTCCTGCACATTCCTACCCTGTCCTTCCCTTCCTTTCCTCCTCTTTCCTGTTCATCCTCCCCAGTGCACAGTTCCCTGGGACTATCCCAGCCTCCTCTGCCATAGCCCCCAAGTCTGCAGAGGTCAGCGAAGGTCCCATTTCACCCTGGACCCTCTGAGGAATCTGATCAGGTCCTCCCAGTCTTCTCATCACCTGGGGTGCTGCTGGGAGCGTGAATGGACACAGCTTTGGGGAGTGCCTTGGAAGGCTGGGTCCCCTCCCTGCACTCTGCACCCCCGGTCCCCCACTCACAAGTCTTGCCTTTCCGGCCCAGATGTTTGCCCGGCCAGTGCCACACGGTCCCACAGCCTGGGACAGTCCGGCTCTTTTTTTTTTTTTCCTTTTTTTATTTTTTTATCATTTTTTTTATTCTTATGTTAATCCCCATACATTACATCATTAGTTTTAGATGAAGTGTTCCATGATTCATTGTTTGTGCAT